ATACAACCGCTGCCCTTGTGTCAGTTCCAACTCAGAGTGACCCTGTAGGACCGGGCAGACCGTCCCCTGTATGGAAGCAGAAAGCCTCATCTTGAGCCCTTGCAGGAGCTAGTGGCTTGGAACTGCTGACCTTTCAGTTAGCGGCCCAACTCGTAATCTCCCTATTTGCTCCAAGGAAATCCTCCAAGACTGAACTGAGACCAGGAGACCAGGGTACAGAGAGTTTTAAAAGTACGAGCGGTGCCAGAGGAGTGGGAGAGCAGATTCAAATTCTCTCCGGAGGAGGCTCACTCCTCTCGCCCTCCAGTTCACATCTGCATGATCTCCAAGTTCCAGGACCACCACACACTGCAGAGTAGCCAGGAACACGTGGACAGCCAACACAATTGAGAATCCTACCCAACAAGAAGAAAACAAGCAACGACCTTGGAAACTGCAGTTATCTACTGATGTTTACTTTAAATTAATAGTAACTTGTTAGTGATATGGAGGGGACAGATAACTGTAAAGTATTACAGCATATCTTGAAAATAATTATAGAAGTAAAAAAATAGAAGTGATGTCTTGGTTATCTGGTTTTTCTGTCCAAAATACCCTAAGTAGCTGACTTTAACAAGCAGAAATCTATTTTCTCACCATTCAAGAGGCTGGAGATCTGAATTCAGAGTGCTGGCTCTAAGACAAGAACTTCTCTCTGTCGACTCTGGAAGAAGATACTGGTCTCCTTCCGACATCTGTGGACCCGGTGCTCCTTGGAGATGCACTTGTGTCTTGGCATCAGTATTCCCGAGTCTAGGAGGTTCTTAGCACAGAGGCCCCACAGCCAACAGCCATGTTTCTGTCCCAGCTCGTTTTTCCTGGTGGCAGTCCAGTCCCATGCTCTCTGTTACTTCTTCTTCTTTTTATTCCCTTGCAAGCCGAAGAAGGTAGATCTAAAAATGCACTATAGGTACGTCACACCCACTAGGATGACTACTATTAAAAAATGTTTTAATAGAAAATACCAAGTGTTGGTGAAATGTGGATAAATTGGAGCACATTGTTGGTGGGAATGTAAAATGTGAAAATAATCGCTGTGGGAAACAGATTGGGCATTATGACAGTTACTTTTTTGGGCAAATTGATTGGGTCAGGATTCTCATTGGTTTGGCTATTCACACAGAGCAATTCCCCATGACCTAACCAAACACAATGTAACCACAGGTAAGCACTTGTAAGCCTCCATAAAAGGCAAAACTAGGGTGAACTACAACATCCTTACTCAGGTCGTGGCCATGATACAATTAAATAAAGTCTCCTCAGAATTGCTTCCACCTTCAAATATAAGGATACTGTGGAAAACCTTGCTTTGCTTTTTGTTGAGACTAGATCCTGCATCTGGTTCATCAGGCTCTGATTCTAACTTAAGCCAAAGGCTTGCCATATTGCCTGCTACCCCTGGCAGTCATCAGAGGCTGCTGATCTCGGACTCATTCAATCGACAGCCACAAGCATAACCTACTTGCCTTGGATTCACCCGTTTCTGCAGCCACCAGTCTGTGGTCTTCCTATTAATTTTGGATTCGTCAGCCCCCCTGGGCCTCAGGAGGAGCTTCCAGCTTAAAATCTGACCCACAGATTTGGGACTTGCCACTTGTAAAACTGTGTGCCCCATTTTCCTTATATAAATTTATACACACACACACACACACACAGAGGCATTTTTAGTTTTGCTTCTCTGGAGAACCCAGTCTAAGACAGGCATTCTTCAAACAGTTAAACATAGAATCATCATATGACTTGCATATATGATGATGGGTCAGTACTCCTACTGGGGTTCCAGTTCATATATGCACAGGTTGTCCCAAACAAACCATGTTCAGACGTTTCTGTGAGGTCAGTGGATGGTAGCAGACGAGGTCTCACAGGAATACAGGCTCTTCATTTTGTTAGGGTGCCGTCAAATAAAAGATCCCATCTGCCAGGCTCTGCTAAGCCAGTCAAATTCAAGGCAGAGAGGTAAACTCGGTGTTATAATGACTTGTTACTTAGAATTCCAAAGGGGAACGCTTGACAGAGTTTCTTGGAAGACACTGGCTGATGACGGTGTCTCGGGCACTTACAAACACCAGAGACTTACGACGAATTTGTTGTTTTTGAAATGCAAACCGCAGAAATGGGCAGGAAAGCCAAGTTTGTTCCATTTGAGTTTCATTTGTTTTTCTCAGGACAACTCCCTCGCCGACTCTTCCAGACGGCTAGGGTGGATCCCCTAGAACGTCACTGGGAAGTCTGACCTCCGCCCCGCCAGCCACCATCGTGCTCCTCCAGACTTCTCGTTGTTCCCCAAACTTAGGAGCATTTAACAGGAGCACCTGGCCAAGTGGCGTAGCGTAGATTGAAGAGCACAGGGTGCTTTGGGGAAGAGTCAGAGACGCTGCGGAAGAGTCCCCACGCCTTCAGAAGTGTGTAGACCGAGACGGAAGATGTGTCAAGAAAAACCAGCTGCACATTTTGATCGTTTTGTTCAATGATGTTTCTCTGATTTTGTAGCAATTCTTTCTCACTTACCCTCGTAGACCACTCATTTATCCCAAAGAACTGAAGCTAAACACAGGGCCAGGCACTCCTCAGCGACACCGCAGGCTCTCCTCCAGGTCACCCCGATCACGCAAAAGCAAAACAAGACAAATCGTGCTGTTTTCTCGTTCCGCGATGCATGTGAAAGTTATGGCCACACTACACTGCAGTCTAGTCAGTGTGCAATAACATCCAAAAGTTTTGAACGAATGCAAGAAATAGCAAAATGTGGCACAGAGACGTGAAGTAAGTACTATTGAAAAACAGCAGCAAACGTCGGACAGGGCAAGATATGACAAAATAATAATTTATAAATTATCAAGGGCTCATGAGGGAGGTGGGAGCGGGGAGGGAGGGGAAAAATGAGGACCTAATGCCGGGGGCTTAAGTGGAGAGGAAATGTTTTGAGAATGATGAGGGCGGTGAATGTACAAATGCGCTTTACACAATTGATGTGTGTATGGATTGTGATAAGAGTTGTATGAGCCCCTAATAAAATGATTAGAAAAATAAATAGTTCGCACCATCAAAAAAGAAAAACAACAGCAAAAAGGAAACACAGTCTCAATAGACTGCCAAAAAGCTTCGATTTGTTTTTTAACATCTATGGGAAATGCAGTAAAGCGAAGTGCAACCAAGTCAGGTGTGCCTGTGATCATACACCAGGCACACTGCAGCGTCACGCACAGGAGCCGGGGTGGGAACAGCCACCTGGAGGTATTAAGTGTTCATCAGCAGATGAATCGGCAAGCAAACTGTGGTATAAACATCGACGGATTGCAATTAATAGTTAAATGAAGTTTTGATACCTGCTATGATATGGATGAAAGTTGAAAACAATTACGCTAGGGGCAATAAATCAGTAAGATCATTGTAAACTTGCAAAAGTAAAATTGCATGCTGAAATTTCCACAGCACTCAGAAAAATAATAAAAACAGGATGTGTAACTTCCAAAGTTGGAGCTGTATAAAAAAATTATTCCTTTTAAATATGCCCAAACCAACAAATTATATCTATGAGGGTGTTTGATAAAGTTCCTGGGAATTTTTCATTGTCTTCCAATCCCATTTTTCCACAAACTTTTTGAAACCCGCGCATACATGTAATTTATGTTATAATGGTTTTATATACGTATATATATCATAGTATACATTATTTAAGCTATTATTTAATCCATAATTTCCTATTTGTATGTATCATATAAACTATTTTATAATAATAGATAGATAGCACACGGCCATTGAGATAGTTTTATAGGACAACGTACAAGTGCTCCTTACAGTTTCCAAAACGAAAAAAACCCAAACTCACTGCCATTGAGTCAGTGCTGGCTGAGAGCGGCCCTACTGGTCAAGGTAGAACTGCCCCTGTGAGTTTCCAAGACTCTCACTGTTTACAGAAGTAGGAAGCCCCACACGGCTGGTGGTTTCGAACTGCTGACCTTGCATTATGCAGCCCCGCGTATAACCACTATGCCACCAGAGCTCCATACAGTCGCCAAGCCGATGCATTTTCATAGGAGCAGAGTCCCATCTTTCTGCAACTGGGCAGCTGGTGAGTTTGGACCATCAATCTTGTGGCTCACAGTCCGAAGCATAACATAATGCTTCACCAGGCTTTTGTGAATGGAACACAAATATAAATTCACTTCCCTATAAGGACTGTATATAAGAAAGTTAGACTAGAAGATAAATAAAGAATATCTTCCTGTGTCTTTCTTCGCCTTCCTACATCCCACGAATGTTTTGATCAAATGAACTTGCAGCGCGATCTTGAAGCGCCATCACTGGCTGCAGCTTACACTGGAGTTTTTTTGTCTTTTAAGTTCCATTTGTTGAAGTGTAATTTACGTATGGTAAAATCGACCCTTTTTTAGGTGTGAGGCTCTCTGAGTTTTGGACAAATGTATATAGTTATATAATCAACATGAAAATCAGGGTGAAGAATACTTTCCATTTGGCTCTGTATCGTCTTTCATCTTGTCTTGATGGTAAGGTGAGCAGACGTCCCGCTTTTGGCAGGACATTCCCGATTTTTAACAATTTTTCCCGCGTCCCGCGGCCTTTTTAAAAACTCCCGATTTTTGGGAAGAATGCACGACAAGCTAGGGTATACGGTTTTCGGCTGCCATGTGGCTCTTCCGCCAGGATGTGAGTTTTATCAATGGTGTCTCGCTTTACCAATGTTAAAATCTGGTCACCTTACTTTATGGTAATACATGTATAAGTTTAAAAACTTCTTCAAAGAGATTGTAATGTTATATTCCTCCCGGACAGGCTGTACCCAGCTCTGCTGCTGGGGGGCGGGGGGGCCTCCGAGCGAACCTTTCACGTTGGGAGAAGTGGCATCATTTTTCTAGCTCCTCAGCGAGGTCCACAGCTGTCCTTAATGTTCCGCATCCAGAGCCGTTGACGCGTGCTCTCTGTCCCGTGTCGTGCAGACTGTCCGGCAGGGCGAGCTGCTGGAGAAGACCTACAATCACGGGGCCAAGTTTCTGACGTCGTTTCCAGATGGGACAACGCAAATATTGTATCCTTTCTTTCAGCAAGTTATTTCTACTTACGTGCTCTCTTCACGAAAAGAAAGGTAAAGGGAGATAATACGGAAACATACAATGACCCAGTATGTATGTACTACTCTAATAGCCTTCTACCAAGAAAACCAAGCTGTTACCAGGCTTTTATACACCTCTCTGACTTCTCTCTGTGTCTTTGAGGCCTGGTGGCAGAGTGGGTTGGTTGTTGAGCTGTGCTGTTAACTGCAGCATCAGTAGTTCAGAACCACCAGCCGGAGAAAGACAAGGCTTTCTACTCCTCTAAAGAGTAGAAGTAGAAGTAATAAACAGTGACAGTCACAGAGACCCACAGGGACAGTTCTACTCTGTCCTTTAGGGTCACTTTGAGATGGAACTGACTTCATGGCAGTGAGTGGTTTATGAGCCCATACCGAGCCCTGGTGGCAAGTTGAGTGGTTCAAACTCACCAGCAGCCTCTTGGGAGAAAGGTGAAGTTATCTTGCTCCCACAAAGATTTAATCTCCGAAACCCTATGTTGGAGTCACTACAACTCAAAGATGACTCAATGGCAGTATATATAAAGATAAAAAAGGCTTTTAAAATAGTCAATTCTGACCATTTTTCACTTATTTATGCATAATATTTTTCCCTTTTCACATATTACATAATACATGCTTTAGTATATAATATGCAATAAGTATACAGATACACCACTATTTTTAAAATGCATAGTAGTAGTTCATTATTTAACCTGTCTTCTATTGCTGAACAGTTGGTCTTCCACTATGCACAACAGCTAAGTGAACAGTTTTGCACATACTTTGTTGCATGCTTATCACTTGTGTCCTTGAATTAAACACCGAGGAGGAGACGTTCTGGAAATGATGGGTATTTCAAGGCTTTGGTAGATTTTTTTTGTCCCCTAGAAAAAGTGTGCCTGTTGACGCATCCATTAGCAACAGGTTTTTTCAACTGGTTTTTTCAACACAAAAATTTGATTGACATTTTACGGAACACCAAGTTAATGATTGCCTGACCTTCTAACTGATGTCCAGGGCTCTAGATGTCCTGAGTTCAGTACATCAAGGTCTTTCACTACATAAAGGAAAATTAAAATATTTGTATGACATGAAGCGAGGGTTTTTTGTGTTTGTTTTTGCCAATTGAAGGTCTCTTTTAAAAAAAATCATTTTATTAGGGGCTCGTACAACTCTTATCACAATCCATACATACATCAATTGTGTAAAGCATATTTGTACATTCATTGCCCTCGTCATTCTCAAAACATTGGCTCTCCACTTAAGATCCTGGCATCAGCTCATTTTTCCCTCTCTCCCTGCTCCCCACTCTCTCATGAGCCCTTGATAATTTATAAATTATTATTTTGTCATATCGTTCACTGTCCGACATCTCCCTTCACCCACTTTCCTGTTGTCTACCCCCCAGGGAGGGGGTTAAATGTAGATCCCTGTAATCGGTTCCCCCTTTCCACCCCACCCTACCGGTATCACCACTCTCACCACTGGTCCTGAAGGGATCATCTGTCCTGGATTCAGAAGGCCTCTTTTTGTAGAATATGATTTCCATTCATATTTTCCTGAATGTTCAGTCAAACTCCAACAATGGACAGATAAACCAAGAGAGACTTTCATGGCATAGGAGATGAACGGATGTCTCAGTTCCTTCAGTCCTATGAGAAAGCCCGGAGGTCATGTTTAATTATGCCAGGAGAGTCCGCACAGCTAACCCAGCTCTTATTGCTATGTCTTTATCCTGCTTTGGCTTTCATCTTTCTTGAAGCCTGGACCCGATTCTCAAAATGGTGAGAATTCATCTATGTCTACTTCATGTCTCAGCTGGACTTCATGTCAGCTTAGATGTGGACTGAGTATCAACAGTTAGTGAGTTATCTTCAGTATATTTTATCCTTTTTGCTTCTCTTGCAAATGGAATTGTCTTCATGTCCTTGTCAGAATGTTAATTGCTAATATATGTAAATAAAGTTTTTATACTGATCCTGTTGTATCCTGTCACCTTGCAGAATTATATTATTAGCTCTAAGATAATGCCTTATGAATTCTTTGTGGTTGTCATCGTTGTTGTTAGGTGCCATCGAGATGATTTCGACCCCTAGCGACTCTTTGCACAACATAATGCAGCGCAGCAGGGCCCGTGCCCTTTTCACGGCGGTTCCTCTACCTGAGCCCCGGATGCAGCCACTGTTAATCCAGCTCGCTGAGGCCTTCCTCTTTGCCTCGCCCCTCCACTTCACCAGACACGACGTCCTTCTCCAGGGCTGGTCTCTCCCGACAACACATCCAAAGTACCTGAGATAAAGCCTTGCCAGCCTTACCTCTAAGGAGCATTCTGGTCTACTTCGTTCAACACAGAACCGTGTATTCTTGGAGCCGCCCATGGGACTTTCGATATTCTCCTCCAGCCCCACCATTCAAATATATCCAACTCTCTGTTCTCTTCTCTATTCAGTGTCCAGCTTTCACATGCATAGGATGCGATGGCGAATACCATGGCTTGGGTCAGGCACACTCTGGTCCTCAGAGTAACATCCTTGCAATATGTCATTTGATCTCGACTGCTGTTTCCACGAGCATTGATTGTGGATCCAAGCAAGACACAATCCTTGACAACGTCAACCTTTTCTCCATTTCTCGTGATGCTACCTAGTGGTCTAGTGGTAAGGACTTTGGTCTTCCTTACATTGAGCTGTGATCCATGCAGAAGACTGCAATTCCTGATCTTCATCATCAGTGCTTCAGTTCTTCCTCACTTTCAGCAAGCCAGGTGAATGCTTTAATGTTTCCTACATATATCAGAGCATGTCATATTAATGAAGATTTCTCACATGGATGCCTGTAGTGGTTACCCATTGAGCTGCTCACTGCAGGGCCAGCAGTTCGAAACCACCAGCCAATCTGAGAGAAAGATGAGGCTTTCTACTTCCATAAAGTTAGTCTCGGGGGCAGTTCTAGCCTGTCCACAGGGTCCCCCTGAATCGGAATTAACTCAAAAGGCATTGAGTTGGGTGTTTTTCTTGGTGGTGGTGGTGGGGTTTTTTCAGCTCAACATTACCCAAAGGAGCCCTGTCGGATAAGGGTTGGAGTGCTGACCACAGGGTCAGTGGTTCAAACCTGCACGAGAAAGATGAGGCTGTCTGCTCCTGTAAGACTGACCCAGCCTCAGAAACCTAACATAATCCAGGGTAACCAGGAGTTAGTCTTAACCCACTGGCAGCGAGTTTTAACATGACCCTGACTAAAACATCCAGGCCAGGATTGACTAGAAATAGTAAGAGTAGACATTATGTCTAGATCCTGGCTTGAGGGGAGAAGGCCCCATATCTCACTGTTAAATAGATCAGATGTGTGCTAGGTGCACTCGGAAGTTCCCTCCATCCCTCGTTGGTTACGTGTTTCTGATCATCAAAGGGTGCTGGGTTTTGTCCAATGCTTTTTCTGTTTCTGTTGAGATAGATGACCCTGTGGAAGGGGTGGGGTGGGGGTGCTTGTCTTCTTCCCCATCGGTGTGGTATATTGCATTGCTTCACATGCATCTGTTAAGCAAGCTTGCGTGATGGAACTTGGTCATAGTGCGTCATCTTTTTTTTATATATTCCTAGGTTTAGTTTCCTAGTTTTTAATCAGAGACTTTTGCATTTCCTATTTCGATCCACCTCACAGCTCCACCACCACCAAAAACCATTGTTCTCAAGTTCATTCTGACTGACAGGGGGGCTGTGAGCCTGAAGGACGAGTGGGTCTGCCCATGGGGTTTCCAAGGCTGCATGGCCACCATACGGAAGCAGTGGGCCACACTTGCTCCTGTGGGGCCACTCTGACTTCTCATTCCTAGCCAAGCACTTTAACTCTTGCTCTGCCGGGGCCTCTGCTCCACATAACCTAACCTAATTCACTGCCATCAAGTTGACACCTGACTCCTTACAATCCTGTGGGACAAAGTAGAACTGCCCTTGTGAGTATCCGAGACCAGGACTCTTTACAGGAGTAGAAAGCCCTGTCTTTATCCCACGGAGGTGACCTGGCCCTTAGCAGCCCAGTGCATAACCACTGTGCCACCTCTTAGCATTTAAAATCCTTTCGTAATAATATGATTTCCTGTTTTCAGAAGGCTTTACAGGTTCAGTGGGCTTTCTCATAAACTGAGTATTCCCAGAATAGTTAAGAGCCACAAGAACGACGCACGTGACCTTATCTGATCTCAGCTATCCTTCCGGAAACCTAGCCATCATCCGAGTGCCCAACAAGATCAATGGCTTCACGTGTATAATCCAAGAAGACGTGCCCACTAACCCCGCCATCCTGGCCCTGCTGGATTCCTCGGGCCGCAGCTCCTGCTATCACCCCAATGGAAACGTCTGGTAAGGAATCGTTCAGTAATGGTCTTACGATAGTATTGCTCAACTCAAGGAAATGTTTTACTTATATGATCCCATGTGGGAAAATCTTAGGTAACTGTAGAAAACAAAGGTTACTATATCCTTTCTGTACCCATCAAATGCACCGCTTTGTTGTGTAGCCAGCTCTAAATCACTTATATTATGGCCCTATGGATTGGGGATGTGAACCCCTGTAGTTTCTCATTACTAGAGCTTGTGGCCTAATAATGCCCTACTGTGTGAGGAACTCGGGTTGTGTAGTATATTCCATGTTGGGCTGCTAACTGCAGGGTCAGCGGTCCCAAGCCATCAGCCGATCTGTGGGAGAAATTAGGTTCTCTACTCTCCTGTAAAGAGTTAGTCTCAGAAGCTCACAGGGGGCAGTTCCCCGCTGTCCGACAGAGTCACTGTTAGTCAGAATGGACTCGGGCAGTGAATTTGGGTTGGCCTCATCAGTGGCAAGAGTTTGCCAAAATCCTCTTGCCAGGAGCTGCACAGACTTTTTTATTGTTGAGGATGTATTCCTTGAGACGTGTTTGGAGGGCCTAGCAGGGGTGGGGCAGCTACTCGTGTACCCTTGACCAAAGGACGGTCCTCTTTCTATAGGGGAAGGTCGTCCTCTTCAACCAAGCATGCGGCTTCAGGAGGGACACACATGGAGTGGGGAGGGAGGGAGGGGACACCCACCTAGCCAGCCAGGTCAGCCAAATCAACCCTGGCCAGCCATCAATGAGGTGACAGATGGCGTAGCCAGATCACCCTCACAGAGGATGTATTCCCAACCTGTAAGCCTTCTGTAGCCAAACCCAGCAACAACATAGGGACAACCTCTTCAAAATGTTAAGATTCTGACTGTTTTATCTGCTAGTATACATATTATTTTTGTTTAACTTGACAAATAGAACTTGGATTCTAACTTTTCAAGCTCTTCAGCGAGAGCTACTCTCTCCCATGAAGGTATTTATGGGAGAAACTCTGCCAGGAGGTGGCAGCCTTTGGACACTGTCAGTACTGGACAGAGCCATTTGTGATTTCCAGTCCCAGTGTGCCACCACGCTCTTTGACCATCATTCATCAATATTGGAAAATGAGATAGAATGTATCGTGCCCTCCAAGGTCCCCAATTTATCTAGTACATCTCATTCAGCGGTTCTCAACCTGTGGGTCATGACCCCTTTGGTGGGGGTCAAATGACCCTTTCACAGGGGTCGCCTAAAACCATTTCTGATGGTCTTAAGAACCAAGACACCGCTCCTCTGCCCGTCTCCAGGCGGGTCCACCACCTGCAGATACCGGCGTGAAGACTCTTACCCATGCTACACCATGCCTCAAGACAAGATTTCATTGAAATAAATATTTCACGATATATAATTACATAGTTTTTGTGATGAATTACTATGCTTTAATTATGTTCAATTTGTAACAATAAAAATATATCCTGCCTATCAGATATTTACATGACGATTCATAACAGTAGAAAATTCACAGTGATGAAGTAGCAACGAAAATAATTTTATGGTTGGGGGGGCGGTCACAACATGAGGAACTGTATTAATAGGTAGTGGCATTAGGAAGGTTGAGAACCACTGATCTAATTGATTGGTTGTAGTTTTATTGCGATAGACTATATTTAACAACAAGGGGAAAAATGAGGACCTGATGCTGGGGGTTTAAGTGGAGAGAAAATGTTTTGAGAATGATGAGGGCCATGAATGTACAAATGCGCTTTACACAATTGATGTGTGTATGCATTGTGATGAGTTGTATGAGCCCCTAATAAAATGATTTTTTTTTTAAAGAATCTATTTAACAACAAAAAGGGGGGAGGGTCTGCCACTTTACCCATTTCTACGTATATGTTCTTAGGAGGCCCCCTGGTTCTTACCCTATACACACCCAGGCCTGCTGAGAGGCCTTCTTGAAGGAAGCCTGCACCCACCCATGTGAAGGCAGTGGTAGAAACTAAAGGCCAAGGCCAAGCCCCCTGCCAGCAAGGAAATTCCAACTCCCAGTGCCCTAAATTACAGAGTAGAACTGCCCTTAGAGTTTCCAATGCACCCTTCTGACCCAGAGCCACTGGTGGCTTTGAACAGCGTACCTTTCTGTTAGAAGCCCACTGCTTAGCCCACTATACCAGCACGGACCCATTTGCTAGCAAACAGCTCCCTTGGCTTCTGCCTTCCCCAGAATTGACACCTAAGCCTTCATCTTTTCAAGACCCTCCCTGCCCGCCCCCCTTCATTCTTCTCACCACATAATTTTCCGGATCCTTTCAACATCCAGATTCCAACCTTGGGGCCTGTTTTGATTTAGCAGTGTAGGATCTAACGACCCCACATTCCCAATAATTATGGGATTCAGGCAGTCTTCTCCCTCCTAAGATGATCTGAGTTCTCAACTCCGCCTTTGTTTTATGGGTGCTATACAATCAGCTCCAATCCGTAGCAACCCCACCTCCGACGGAAGGAAACTCCGCCCCAGCCTGGGTCATCCCCACAATTGTGACGCTTGAGCCCATTTTGCAGCCACTGTCAGTCCGTCTCACTGAGGATCTCTTTTGCTGACTCTCTACCAACCATGTCGTCCTTTCCCAGGGGCTGGGCTCTCCTGCTAACACGTCCACATACCTGCACTTCCAAGGACCGTTGTGGCCTGTCCTGCCTCTAAAACGGATTTGCTTTGTCCGTCTGGCAGTCCCTGGTCCTTGCAGTGTTCTTCCCCGGAGCGCAAAGGCAAAAAAAGACACCTCTGCAGGCTCCTGATGAGTGTCCAGCAGCCACATGCATGCAAGGCCATTGAAAATACCGTGGCTTCCTGCAGGTGCTCCTGAGCGCCCACAGTGACATTTTTGTCTTTCCTTCTTTAGAAGGGTCTTGTACAGCAGATAGGCCCAATGTGACCTGTCATTTGATTTCTTTCCTGCTGCTCCCACGTGCAACGGTGCGCTCTTGGTTAACAGAAATGATGGCTCCACTTGGTTAGCACGTGGCAGGCTAAGTTCGGGGCTGACAGGTAGTGCTGTTATTTATGAGTTTTCCTTTCTTTCTTACCCAGGGTGTGCATCAATATTTTAGGTGGTCAATATTCAGATCAAGCAGGCAACAGGGTCAGGGCTTGGAACTGGTCCAGTTCTGTGGCTTCCACACCCTTCGTTTCATTTAAACCTGTCTTTCTGGCTTTGAACCAACATATTGGAATTCGCATCTTAGAACAAGACAAAATTTACATCACTTTTTTAGCCGTGGGCCGACAGGCAAGAATCAGCGTTGGAACCAAAGTGAAGGTGAGTGTGTTTTTAAACAATAATCCCTCCTTTAGAATGGGCACATCCTTGTCTTTAGTGAGGGCTTCTGTTTGCTCCATCCACTGGAGAACTTGGAAGTCACTGGAAAAAACCCACGGTGAAAGTTCCACATGGGGTCGAATTGGCCATTCCTTGTAGCTCGAGTGTATTGAGTGTCTGTGAAGAAGTAGGGCCGCTCTGGAGAGCTGGTGTGGGGATTTTGTACTGTGTATGTTTTCTCCATAGAGGACTGGGTCAAGGGTCTGGGGTTGAAATCATGTTCAAGACCAAATGGAAGCCTCATCTCCTTGAAGTGGTTCCCCAGATCTCAGTCTGCTGTTGAATCAGAGCCAGTCGTGCCCTTGCCTGGGTTTTTCTCGTATTTGCCTGGCCTAGCACTTGCTGAACTCAGACTGTCATTAGCCCCACACAGCCTTTCTACTGAAGAGGGAGCCCCTGGTGGGCAGAATCTCTTACTGATTCCTCTAGCCCAGAGCCCAGCCCATGGCATGGCTTTAAGTACCCACTCAGAGACTGGCAGTCTTGCACTGTGCTTAAGAATCCGGGCTTCGGGCTTAACAAAGGCACTATCATTTAGCTGGCAAGATGAACCGGAGCTTCAGTTCACTCATCTACACAAAGGCGGCAGTGGTTCCTACCTTATAGCGTGCTGAGATTCAGTGAGCGTGCAAAGCACTAAGCATAGTAAATAGTAGCTCAAAGGTTTCTCCCACCTCTGAAAACCTTACGCTTTCAAGTCTAGGGAAATATGGTCTCAATATTCCTCATCGTTTGGACTCCTTTGTGAACACACACCAAGAGATGGAGCCCTTAGATGCGTAGCAGGAATGGAGGGTCTGCAGTGTTGCAAGCACTAGTGTAGCTGCTGCAGCCAGATGTGTGAAACTCCAGTCTTCTCTGGCTTCGATATCTTCAATATAGCTTCTTTGGGGCATATCGCCGTCATAGTCAATGCTTTCTTACCCAAAGCCCAGAAGCACAACTGTTTAGCTCTGTGTGTGTGTGTGTGTGTGTTTCAATCCCATCCGCCCTGCCTTTGGCCCCTGTCCTGTCACCGCCTGCCTTTTCCTTTCTCTCTCCCTAGAGAGTCATCATGTTAAAAGTTTTTTGTTAACTTTTTTTACTATTCTCATAGTCATCCTTTTTGCTTGTTTACTAATTAAATCATTTTATCTTATCACAATCCACACATCCATCCATGGTGTCAAGCACATTCGTACATTTGTTGCCATCATCATTCTCAAAACATTTGCTTTCTACTTGAGCCCTTGGCATCAGCTCATTTTTTCCCTCCCTGCCCGTTTCCCCCTCCCCCATGAACACTTGATAATTTATAAATTATTTTGTGTTTGCTTTTAAAGACAAAAGAGAGGCATGGATATAGTCTCTCTTTGAAATGTTTAAACAATATACAAGTAAGGAGAGTAAAAGATGAGATTCTCCCTTCAGCCCTTCTTTATTTTCTGACCGTTCCCCAGAGATAATCACCACCTGAAACAGTATGGGTACCTGCAGCTCTTCCTGTGGACTGATTGGCATTCATACATACCTTTTTGAAGAAATGAAAAATCCGATCATGCTATTCTGAGTCTGTTGCTGAAAGTGTGTCCATTTGGTTTTGAATTTCACTCCACGCACCCTGAAGGTTTTTCCACGTCGACAGTCCCAAGTCTGGTCCATTTGGTTTTTCACAGCTGAATAATAGTACATGCGTACTAGTTTGCTTCAGAGCCCGTAGGTAGTGCGAGTGGTTGAGTGCTCAAGTGCTGACCGCAAGACTGGCTGTTTGGACCTGTCCAGAGGGGCCTTAAAAGGAAAGCCCGGAGCCTTCTTCCACAGCCACGGCCTTGAAAGCCCAGAACGGACTTGGAACTCGGAAGCGGTTTGGGTTTGGGTGGGGCCGGATCGGATTCTTCCCAGCGGGCACCTGGATCACACCCTTCTCCCAGAAGGGCTTCTTCCCTGGCTTCTCTCCTTTGGTTTGCCTTTTATCTCACCAACTGCCCCTCCTCGTTCTTACTTTCCCTCACCTGTTTCCCCACTATTGGAAGACTCCGGGCGTTGTCCGTCTGCTCATTTCTCTCTGTCCTCACTCCCCAGGTAATTCCAGTGAGTCTCTTGCCCTTCACAACCAGCTCTCTATATGAAGATAACCCCTCATCTATACCTGCAAGTAGACGCCCATGAACTCTAGACTTGTGAATCTGTGAGTCCATCCAGATGCCTCCATTTGGATGCTCAACCACCATTGAAGATCTGTGGCACAGCAAAACTCACCCTCCACACATCCATCCATGGTGGCAAGCACTTTTGTACACAGGTTGCCATCATCATTCTCAAAACATTTTCTTTCTACTTGAGCCCTTGGTCTCAGCTCCTCATCCCCCCGCCCCCCATGAACCCTTGGTAATTTTTAAATTATTATTTTGTCATGTCTTACCCTGTCCAACCATCCGTACTGCTAAAGAGTATTCTGGGGGTGTGCGTTTTGGTACTTGTGTGTGGGTTCGTTTTGGTACTTGTGTGGGTTCGTTTTGGTACTTGTGTGTGTGTTCGTTTTGGTGCGTGTGTGGGTTCGTTTGGGTATGTGTGTGTGTGTTCGTTTTGGTGCGTGTGTGTGGGTTCGTTTGGGTATGTGTGTGTGTGTGTGTTGGTGTGTGTGCTCAGTTTTGCCCTGGGGGATTTCCGTGCTCCCATGTGTTCTGCTTGCTGACGATACATGCTGTGCCCAGCTCGGCTGGTTGAGGTCTGGTAGCGTCACCAACTGTAGTTTGCATGTATGTGTGTGTGCGTTTTGGTGTGTGTGTGTGTGTGTGTGTGTGTGTGTGTGTGGGTTAGTTTGGGTATGTGTGTGTGTGTTCGTTTTGGTGCGTGTGTGTGGGTTCGTTTGGGTATGTGTGTGGGTTTGTTTTGGTGTGTGTGCTCAGTTTTGCCCTGGGGGATTTCCGTGCTCCCATGTGTTCTGCTTGCTGACGATGGCTTCTGACCGTGGTGAGCCAGGGGTGTGCTGCTGGTCGCAGAAGGCTGCCCAGCGCCACATGCCCGCCCCAGCCTGTGGGCACCACTGCTCCATGCGAGGAAGCCAGAGGAAGAATGCTCTCCCAGTGGCTCCTGCTGCACTCTGATTTGTCCTCCCCGGTGCGGTCCCGTGCACTTCTCGTTTCGGTTGACTTTAAGTGTGTGCGTTAGGGGTGAGTGGTTTCCTTTGGTCATGCATGTCCCAATCCCATGCTGTCCAAATCTGCTTCCTGGTTTTCAGTAGTTCCTACGGTATTTCTGCAGATGTAGAGCTTCTTACTTTCTACAGTCATTGGTAGTGTAAGTGCTTTAAAAGGCTTCTGCCATTTATGGGATTTGGAGTTAAGAGATGTTGGGGTTCAGATCCATTCTTTATTATTCATTCATCCGATCTCCCCTCTTCCTTGCCTGCCTTTTTCTGTGGAAAGCACAGACGTTCTATAGGGTCTGTGTCTTTTACAGGTAGTAAAACCAAACCAAGCTCACTACCATGGAGTTGATTTCCAGCTCGGGACAGCCCTATAGGACACTGTGGGACTGCTCCCGTGGTTCTGAGGCTGTAAATCTTTACAGGAGCAGAAAGCTTCATCTCCTTCCCAGCACATAACCCACTGGGCCACCAAGACGGGTCAGTAATCCTGCTTGCACTTAGCTTGCCCACTCAGGAGTTCTGGTGGGGTAATGGTTACGCATTGGACTGGGATCCGCAAGGTCGGCAGTTTGAAACCACCAGCTGACACGCGGGGAAGGAGAGGTGCCTTTCTTCTCCCATACAGAGTTCCAGTCTCTAAGACCCACAGGGGCAGGTCCCCCTGCCTCATGGGCTCACTGTGAGTCGACGGTGGCCTGAGGGCGATGAGTTTCACCGAGGCGCACGCCCTTTCTAAGCGGATCTGGAAACGGTGCAGAAACACCCCTCGCAAGACTGTCGGGCGCTGCCCGGCGGCTGCGTCAGCCTTCACTCGCAGGAGGCTGAGAGACAGTGGGCCGGGCAGAGGCCAAAGAGTCCATTTGGAATGGCCTCCGGGGGTAGAAACACTTTAAGGTTTGGGTCATTTCCATCCTTCTTGAGCACAGGTGCTACCTTCACCAGGGAACAGCGCGCCCTGGGCACCGTCCCTGTCGGCCTCCCCGCCTCGAGCCCAGGGCGCCCCGGCCGCTCGTCTGCCCTTCTCCCGGCTTTTCTAGCAAACGGACCGCTCTCCCAGCGCCTCTCGGTCCACTTATGGCTGTCCAATGACTAAATAAATTGTGAGCTTTCAAACGTATCCAAATCTCGTTTACTTATTTGAAGTATTTTACTTAAAGTATTTTAAGTCTTAAAAGTATCTCGCTTGAAGTGGGCCCTGCGTTTAGTCCGAGCCTCCAGGGCAGGGCAGCTCAGGCCCCAAACAGGTGAGACTAAGCCATCTGCCCTTGAGTGGTTCACTAGACCGGATACTCCGTATCCAGTCTTCACGGCCACGGGCTCCCCACCGTCCCAGGCCCGCTGTGCACCATCTCCAGTCTGCCTTCCTGGCCCCTGAACTTGCCTTTTCTTTCTGTTTGCTGAAAAGCTGCCGAACCCCGGAGAGATCCCAGCCCTCCGCTACCTCAGCGGGGACGACCTGCTTCTGCTGGCCATCATCATCAGGATTCGACGCCTGTTCCATAAGCTCGAAGGCGGCGCGATGTTTCCCTCGAGCCAAGTCTGGGGTAAACTAAGGGAACCGTCTTACCTTTCTGCGCTGTCTCTCAAATTGATTGCCCTCTGTCATAACTCTGGTATAAATCAAGATATAATGGAAACCATAACGGACTTAATAAATGAAGAAATTTAAGAGCAATGGTGCTTGTATTTGTTGTCTTCAGGTGGGTGGGGTTTTTGGTGTTTGTTTTTGCGGGGAGGGAGCAGGGGGCCTGGGAAAGGACAAGCAAGTTGACTGTCCAAGTAGAACATGCCCTCCCTGGTCACTGGCTTACACACGTGGCAGGAAACACAGTAAGCAACTTACTTGCTTGTGAGATCCAGCCTCACATCCGGACGTGTCCCAGGAGACAGCTGTGTGCTTGAAGGGAAGAAATGAAAGGATAGACCAATGTTTTGGGGTGCTCACCTCTGCCATGGCTTCAGGAACCAATTCCGTGCAGAGGGAGAGAGAATGTAGTCCCAACACCAGGTTCTCAACCTTCCTAATGCCGCGACCCTTTCATACAGTTCCTCGTGTTGTGGTGACCCACTGCCCCTAACCATAAAATTATTTTCATTGCTACTTTATAACTGTAATTTTGCTACTGTTATGAATCGGGCGACCCCTGTGAAAGGGTCATTCGACCCCCAGTCCCATAGGTTGAGAACCGCTGTTCTATACTCCCAGGGCATACTCGCTCCCATAATTAAAGGCAACCACCTATGTAACAAAGTGGGCTGTACCTTAATGTTAAAGGTCCTGAGTTCAATGGAGAAGTAACCTAACGCCAATGCTGGGGACAGGTAAGGGGGAGTGACTGTCCCCTTACCTCAGCAGTGAGAGAAATAGCAATGTATCTGCCCCTATAGTTAAAGCTCCCGACTAGATAGCAATCAGCCATGTGCTTATAAGAGGTAACATTAGGCAGTGCTCTTAGGGGAGGATATTGTGGGCATTAGTATTAATTGTGAGAATGTGATGGGGACTCATCTCTCCAAGCCACAAGTGTGAAGGCCTCGCTCCACCCAGAATCTGGCCTGCCAGACTTCCTAAAATATGAGAATCAAGCCACTCTCTTCCCGTTCCTCAATTCCCCACACTTGCTGGACACCTGAAAAGCAATTCAGCCAAGTATTGGTATCAGTGTGATTTCCAGCAGGGAGTGATGGAAGCAGCAAGGGATGAGCTGCTTTTGAAACCATCCGAAGGACTGGAGAAGTGAAGGTCAGCGGAAACCCCTGCTGCCTTGCAGGAAACCAGAAATTCAAAGTCAAGAGCCTTAGCACGGCCCCAGGGGACCAGCTGGGAGAGCGGCTGGAAGCTCTTCTGAACGTGGCCTGACTTGCTAGGGCAGACTTCACTAGACCCTGCCAGCTGCCCAAACAGTGCCCCCTGCTGCCAACAGTGAAGGACAGCTTTTCTCCTGCTTCACTTTCGGGGCCTCGAAGCAGGCCCTCTGACCAAAGTTCGTGAACAGAACACGTACACCATGCATCCAGGTCCTGTGTACACGGACGGGCACGCTTCTGAATCCCCAGTGACAACCCAGCACTGCTGTCAGTTCAGGACCCAGGGCTTTCGAGTTCATAGAAAACAGTTCAGCACTGAATGTGGAGAACCCTCAAAGTAACCTTGGGGCCCAAATCTCTCCCAGGCTTCTCATCCCCTGTCACTGAGAGACAGACACCGTTCAGGGGCTACACTTATACGAGATCTCCAGTTTGCTGCAGATGTGCCACCAAGCGGGAGTTGAGTCATTTACAGTTCAGCACGGATGACTTGCGTCATGTCATTTTCTGGCGAAGAGCTGCTTGAGGAAGTACTGAGAGGGAAAGAAAGGGACAGAAGAGGAAGATTTGAGGGGCCCAGGGAACATGAAGTCGTTGAGCTGGTGGGAGAACCAGGGCTTGGTCCTTGTGGCAATCTGTAACTGCCAGGCTTTCAGAGAGCCTTGGTAGCTTTCTCTTTACACACATTTCTAACACCGAGGATTTAATTCCACTACTTGCCTTCCTCTTGTTTGTTTTCATTTCTACTTTTGATCATCCTCCTGGCTAATCATTGTGAAAAAGGAAAAAGTACCGAGATTTATGTCTTCATCGGTGCTAAATGTCTCTCCTCTTTGCCCTTTCGCCTTCACAGCCATGGGTGACTTACCTTTCCATTTCTCTCAAATGAGAGAAGAATGCCAGATTAGCTGAGCTATTAGAGTTCTACAATCGAAGCTCATGTGTACCTCACAAGAAAGCCACTACTGACTCTAATTTGAAAGGTTTTCAGATATCATTCAAAACTATTTTTTGGAATGTCCAAATAAAGCCTTGATTGATTGGAGATTTGGCAAGAAAATGGAGCAAGATCCTTTATCATGTTTTATCCTGACTAATGCCAGAATTTCATTTAGAATTATCTTCATTCTAATCAACAATAAACTAGGGATTGATGTTTTCTTTAAAAATTTATTGAAAATGTTTCCAAAGTTAGTATATCAATATACATACAAGAGAGGTCATTAAAAGATTCATGGTACACATCTATTATGGAAAAACAAGGCCTGGATTTCAATATTTTTCCATCAAAAAAATCAAACTAATTTCTTATAAAACAGGTTATATTTGGAGGAGCTGAGAAAGATAAGATCACATTAAAAGAGCCCTATCTGAACAACATGAATTCTGTTAAAATTGAAGAAGGAACAAACATCAAATTTATGGTGACACAAATACAAAAATGGCGAAACCACTGATGCTTTACAAAAAATTTATAGGGACAGTGCTCCCAAAGAAAGTAGCAATTTCAAATGAGTCACTCATTGAATAATTGATGAAACGGACTTCTAGCAAGATGGCAGACTAGGCAGACACACTGCCCAAACCTCTACAACAAATACCCGAGAAACAGATACAGCTGAACCTCCTGAAACCTCGAGCTTCAGAACAAAGGATGAGAGGTAGATGATGCCAACCAGGAGAAGCAGCTGAGCGAAAGGAGCCGGCTAGCAAACAAAACAGGTGATTTGCCACCTGGCCTGGCATGATGCAGCCGTAACAGCTCAGCTTGCTCGGGGCCAGTGCAATCATCCACACCTGTGGCTCACAATGAGAAAGGTGGCTTCCTCCCTTGCTCACCACACCCTCCTGGCTCCCACCCACCTGTCCCCTGCACAGCCCCACTCTGCCTGAGATCAGAGCCTCACTTTTGTGGATGTATTCTTGGTAGACCTGGAGGTGCAGACAATGTGTAGAGGTGCAGACCTCTGCCTCATCAGAATAGCAGAAAGCACAGTACTAGGTAAGCAGCCTGTTGCCAGACTACCACATGTAGGCAAGAACTACTTGCATAATACCCACCTTGTCCTCAGATACGCTGGCTCTGGGCCCAGGAGAGTTCCTTTCTGGAAGCAACTACCCAGATCACAGCCACCATCTGAATCTGAATGAACTACATCCAGATCAAGTAGTTCCTGATCTCAGATAACTGTGGTAGTTACATAATCTCATGTCAACTTGAGGATATTAAGTGGCTGGGGTCTTAGAAGGCTTGAAGTTAAACAAGTGGCCATCTAGCAGAAAAGCAACAAGCCTAATGGAAGAAGCACACCAGCCTGTATAATCATGAAGTATCATCTGGACCAGGTAACAGGCATCAGAAGATCCATAACAAACAAGCATATTGTTGAGAACGAAGTGGGTCGGAGCAGAGACCCAAAGCCCCTCTGTAGACAATGAGACACCCCCTCCCAGAGGGATAACAGGGAAGGGATGAGTCAACCAGCGTGCAGTAAAGGACCAAAGAAACACACACAATAGTCCTCTGGTTTCTTAAGGCTTCCTCACCCCCCACTATCATGACCCCAGTTCTGCCTTTCAATGCGGGTTAGACCAGAGCATGTACACAGGTACAGATAAGAGAGAAGAGCTCAGGACACACGGAATCCAGGAACAGAAATGGAAATAGCTATGCCAGAAGGGGAAGGGGAAGGTGGGGAGATGAGGGGAGGAAGGGGGAAACAATCGCAATGGCTGACACATAACCACACACCCCTCCAGGGGAACGAACAACAGAAACCATGGGGAAAGGAGACAGCGGTCGGTATAAGATATGAAAATAATAATCTATAATTTATCAAGGGTTAATGAGGATGGAGGGAGGGTGGGAGGGAAAAAACAGGAGCTGATACCAAGGGCTCAATAGAAAGTAAATGCCTAGAAACGAATGATGGCAACATATGTACAAATATGCTCAATGCAATTGATGTATGGATTGTTATGCACTGTAAGAGCCCCTCATAAAATGATCTTTTAATAAAAAATAGAGTAAAGGGGTGGAGTCTAACCTGTCAATCCAGTCACAGCCTGATGTCTCCTTGTGGGTGTGGCCTTCTCATGAGGATTCTGGGAACTTCCTCTCTTCCTCCCTGGAGGCTGGACACACTCTGTCTCTGCTTCACATTCCTGTTGACAAGCCACATGGAGCCCTGCTGATGGCAGCCAGAGCCCTGGAGATGCTTCTACTGCCATAGAATCCGCAAGATTTTTCACCCACTGACCTGTGATCTTCCTGCATTCAGAACCATTGCAGGTACTGCGTGAGTCTAAAGAGGAATTTATGGACTAGCATCGTACATATGGGCTAACATTGGACTTACGGACTTGATCTGATCTGGGCTGGGATGTTTTCTCAATATATAACTGCTTTTTTATACAAAGCTTTCTCTAACACCCATGAGTGTTTCTGGACATGTTTCTCTAGTCAACCTGGACGAACACATCAAGTAAGCCAGTGGCAGCTCCACCGAAGATTGGGCTTCCCACCCCCGACCCGACTCTGTTAACTCCTAGGCTGGAAAGGGTCCCAATCCACACCGGGTGCCAAGCCCTCCACAGGTCTCTCTTCTCTGCTTCCCGCCCCAGTCGGTTTGCTCCTGGCCTTCTATTCTATTCTTCGCTTGTTTCTCATCCTTGCTTTCTGTTTTCGTTTCTTCTGTTGCTCATTTCTACTTTTCCCTTCATCTTTCTATTTTTTCTTTTCACTTAATTCTTCATTCCTATGCTCTCTTTCACTATTCTTTTTGCCCTTTCCTTCTTTAGTATCTTTTTCCTTTTGCTTTTAATTTTTCTTTTTATTACATTTGTCTTTAGTTTCCTCTT